ATATCACAAAACTCTAAAACTAATTAAACCAGTTAGAGTGAAGTAAATCTATAAACAAAAGAGAAAAATGTGTCATTTTTTTTTGTTTCCGTTTTTTATTATTATATTAGGTGTGGCCATAAAAGGCCGGCCAACTGGCCCAGTTTCCTCTTATGAGGACAGGGAGGGTCGAACCCCTATAGTGCCAGAAACATGCATGTGACAAGAGCCACTTTACTACAAGTGTTCCGGCGAAAAATCTGTTAAATTAACTGGTGAGGCACGTAAGTATTTTAATTATTAAGTAAATTTTTGGTTAAAAAGAAAGTAAAAATATGTTTAATAAATAAGTTTGTTTCATGTGATGTCGGTATATCAAGTTTGTTATATGAAAAAAATCGTAATTTAATTTTTGGTTTTAAGGTGAAAATTATTATAATGGAATTCTAGTAAATAAGATTTTTATTAACGAAAGATTTGATGGTAAAATTTGCATCAAAAACTCGATAGTAATTAAAATTAGAAGTAATCTAGTAATGAAACAATTATTTAGTGACAAATTATTATTTTTTCTCTTAAAGAGAACGTGATAGTGAGATTAGTCAAAATTTCTGCTATAATTGTATATACATACTGTATGTTGTAGCAGATTGCACAAAAATAATAATCAAAGTCAATGAGTCAATACTTTGTTAAATAAGGAGAAATTGATTATCGGCGTAGAATATATGGTCAAATTTGAGTTAGTGATAGTAACGGCTAAATCGAGGCAAATTGATGTACATGATATATAATATATGGGCTTTCATGTAATAATTAAGAAATTGAGTGAAAGAGTTCATAGCATAATGTAAGTATGTAACGGTTAGATTGGGGCAACTTCGTAAATTTGTAAGAATATTAAGCGTTTTATATAAATATTTCCGAGTCGGTGGACTCATCGCAGTCCCGTTAATAAACCCAGAATCTTTTTTTCCCCAAAAATCAAAAATCAAAATTCAATTTCACTCGTTATCGTAACCCCTCCTTCGATTTTACCATGGATGCTTCGAGTTCGAGGAATGTCCCTGAGGTCGTCTCCAAGCTTTCGTCGGGCAAAGCCAAGATTCGCAAGTTAAGTTACCCTCTTTATCGTTAGGGTTTCTTTGTGGTGAGAAGTTTAGTTTTCGCTGAATCGAAGTTAAGTTACCCTCTTTATCGTTAGCGTTTTTGTTGTTTTCTTTGTGGATTTGTCACAGCGATGATTTAGGGTTTCCTTTGTTTATGGTTGGATAAAGTGAGGGGTTTCAATTTGTTTGGGGCTTAATGTTTCGATTCTCTTTTTGTTGTTGTCGTGGATCTAAGTGAAATTTGAGAAAACCTTAACCTGCAATACAGCTCGGTTTCGTTGATTATTTCGTGTGGGTTTGGTTGAAAAAGATGTTGAGATACTTCTTTTCTTGTCTTCACCTGTTAAAATTAGGTCTCGGTACCATACTGGCTGTTTCTTTGATGCTTGTTAATAGGATTTTGTTTCACTTTCTTGATTGATCATACTGCTAATTTTATATTGCCTTTTCTTTCGGATATCATGGTTGCTACTTTAAAGTGTTTCTAACACATGTGGTCTGCTCTTATGTTTATGGGTTCTCATTTTACTTAAGGTTTTTTTTCTTGGATGGCATGCTTAAGACACAGGTAAAGGAGCAAGCGTAACTGTCTCAACATAGTTTGATTTGTCTTTCAAAGAAGGAGAAAGTTGTCTTCTTCTGTTTCAGTTGAGTACTTGGTTTTTTTCCATGATCGTCTTGCTTAATCCTCAGAACTGTCAGGTGCCTACTTCTCATATAACCCACTTATTCCTTGCACATGAAGAACTGGCATTTGCAATATACACACTAATGTTTTTGCTTATCTTTCTAGTGTTTACATGTTAAATACCATTAAAGCCAAAGAATAACATTCCCTGTACATTCTTTTCGGATGAGATAACTCCTGTGGTTTACAGATAAAAAATTTAGATTTTCCTTGCACTCATTCCTTGCAGTGACCTGTAGTAATACCTTTGTTCTAAAGCCATCAGAGAGGGATCCTGGTAATCTGCTTAAATTTCTTACGCTTATTCCTTGGAACTATTTGAGTAACTAAAGGATGATCCTGCGATTTTTAATTGATGATGGGAAGTTCGAGATATATAGACTTTCTGTTTCTGTCTTAACATATCGTTGATGCCAGTGTAGATACTTCTTACTCCCAAGGCTAATTGGATGACCTGAATGCTCTTAGATATATCACATTTTCTGAATGTCGTAGTTGTTGAGGTTGTATTCTCTGTTTCATCGATAGATTCTTTTCTCTGACGGGTACATTGCCTCTTCACTCAAGTTACTCATGGGTACTTTGTTTATATCCTTTTGTTCGTTAGAGTTTCATTTTATATACTTTTTAACCAAAGAGCATTTATAATTGATAACTGAATCATGTAGTACTGAAATAGGCTCAAATTCTATTTCCTTTTTTCACTAGCACACGGGTCTACAATATTGGAGATAGCATACAGTTTGACTAGAAAATATCGACTTGTGGATATGGATATCCCGCAATATGTTCAATGACTGGAAATTATCAGAATGGAATGAATACGTTTTCGCATTCTATATAATCTAATGAATACGTTGCTTTCTTGCAGACAAGTAACCTGTTCATTCTAAATGCTGCCCCGACATAATACATCCACTTTTGTTCCCACTGGCTACTCCTAGCTCAGCTGTTGCTTGAAGATCATACTAACCTTGATTGCATAATTAAGGTAAGGGTGCTTCCGTATATCTTTATAGACATAAAAGGATGTTTCGAAAAACTGCAATTTCAGTGTACAGAGATCCTTAAAGATTTTGTTAGTGAAATTTGAAACAAGTACAAACTTCCCAGTTGTGTTTACTGTATTTTGGTATGGAACCCTTCAGATAACGTCAGAGATTTGAACTTTTCTGATCTCTACTGAACCGACATATTCTACAATTTGCAGATTGCACTGTAAGTTTTGTTTTATCATGTGCTTCTTTGTCACCAGAACCTCTAATTCCCGCTTTTTCTGGTGACACCATTTCACGTGCAGTTCAAACAGTTCTGGATGGTTTTCTGGAAATGTAACATTCTTACTCACTCGAGCTTGACTTGTTTTTATAGTTTTTCCTTTTATAAGGTATTAATTGGTTTCTGCAGCACAGATTATCCAAGATAGGGTGTCATTGGCAGGATATATGTTATTTTCCCAAATAGGACAGGAGTTGGTAATTCATTTACCGAAGCTTTTTTTTTCACGATGAGATATCAATGTTCTTTTCAGTTTAATACTTCAGTCACAATACTTTTGTTGCTTGGTAGTTCATCACAGAAATACACTATAGAATGTCAGCCGCATGTCATCATCATTTGACTGTGCTTCAAGAGCTTACCATGATTCTTGGTCATAGAGCTTCAGCTCCAAGCAAGCTCCTTAAAGTAAGGAATTCTC